ATACGATTGGTCAAAACAGCTGACGTACGCTGTTGAACGACCAATCGTATCGCAGAATCGAGAAGCGTGTCTGGATTGTTGACGTTGAAAATTACCGTAATCGGGGCTCTGAATGTTGAAACGCGGCGATGTTACGGCACGTATGCCACTAGTGTATAAAGGCCCTTACGAATAACGATTTATCGATAGTTCCATTTGAAAGTTTAATTATTAATATAATTAGTGTTTTATCGATAGTTCAATTTTAAGGTTTAATTATATTATAGTGTAAGGTTGGAGGTCATTTGGCTGTGAAGGTTGAAAATGAAATTCATTAAATATTCTCAATGAAAATATATTCCTCAATCTGACATTACTCCAGCCAGTGCTCACGAAAACAAACATATTGTACACCATGATAACTAAACAACAAACTCGCGCGATCATAACTTATTAATATCGTTATCAAACATTTAAAATCACTAGACTAGAAATAGGGACTAGATATTAAACCCCTTAATACATCCCCCTTACTTAAGCCCTTTATTCATAAAAATACAGGCAGACATACAGAAGAAAAGATAGGTATAAATATTGCCAGTTTTTATCAGTTACAGATTTCATTTCGTTTAAAAGACCCAATTCAGTGTTATGAAAATGGTTTTGTAGAACTGTCTTAATTTTTATGAATAACGAGATATAAGAATTAATTTATATAAATATACATTCTTACCTCCTTACATAATACTCAATGAGATCATTATGGAAAATATGTATTTTTCTGGAAATGTTATCAATCTCAAAATGTTTCTGATAAGACACATTGATTAAGTATACCAAAAACAACACATGAATAGTGTGAGTCACTCAATATAAGTAGCTTAAATGCAAACAGACTTTTTCCATATTTTTCAGGGTTCGAGGATATATATCAAGGGATATATATCAAGATATATATCGGATATATATCCGATATATATCAAGCCGGTTTTGATGATATATATCAACTTTTAAAATTTGTCACTGTATTTGTACTTTTTGACACAAGATTTTTATTTTTTTAGTTGATTTTGCCGTATTTCAAAGATATTTTATGTTTTTGCTTTATTTGTCTGATTTTAAGTTTTAAAAACATTAAAAACATGTTTATGTAACCCATATGCAATAGTATTCATGAATAATACAATAAAATAATACTATGGCTTTCATACAAAATTGATATATATCAAAGTTGATATATATCGGATATATATCATAAATATCCGATATTTTGATATTTATAATAAATATCGGATATTTTCGAACCCTGATATTTTTAGAAATTAATGTGTATGTGTCTTTTCCTACCAACACAATAAATTACGAAGATTTATCAGTGCTCTATAGATTAACAGATGCAGAAATAGGCACATTAATTCATAATTTATCAACCATTAGACAGATGGCAAGAAAATAATTTTCAAAATTAATTAAGTTTGCTTACCCTGTCAAACTGGTACATGCCTTTAGGGATGCTTTTCCTAGGTTTGTTGCTAATCTTCTTGGCAGAACTAACTGGATGGACTTTTCTCCTTTCTTCTTCTAACAGCAAAGGTGGCAACGAAACTTTTCTTATGCTATATTGCTGTCCCAAACCATTTGGTAACCTCGCAACTTCGTTTTGTGAGACATCAGGTGTGCATAAAGGCTCTAAACGTGTTAAATCGCGATGTCTTGCTGTGACAACTCTCCCATTAAGGTATTTGTTACGTTCAGACGCACTGAGTGCATTAGTGTAATTTCTTGTGTCAAGAGACACAAATGACTTTGCACTATTCCTGTCACAGTTCAAAGAAGAATCTGGCCTTGAATTTCTCATCCACTTCGAAGAAGCCAGCTCAGATCTCAAAATAGATGTGCCCTGTCTTTTTTTATGTGATGGGCTTCTTATTTGTATGGGTGTGATTTGTAGCAGGGAACAAAATGTATCAGGTAGATTGGCATCTTCATCGAATGCAGGATAGAAAGTGACCTTTTCTCGTGACAATTTTGGCTCGTGCAAATCTTCAGCTATAGACACTCTCGGTGAGTTCTGTGGTGTCACGTCAGAACTGCTCTGTGAAAGGCGTTCTTCACTTTCGCTAAATTGTTCGTAGTCACTGTAGTGTATAGCGATGACCTCATCGTGCTCAATTTGTCTATAGCACAACCTTTTTTCAGGCAGTTGAATTGCTTTTCCAATAATCCTGAAAATCAATATTCAATAAAATATGTATTGTGAAGGTTACAAGGTCTGTTGTGGTAATTGCTGGAGTGTCAAATGATGTCCTTGACTCACAATGCTATTGTCCCACAGAAATCAATGAATTCCATAATTCATAAAACATTAGTAAAGTCATGGCCATAATCCTTGCCCCAATGTGTCTTTTATTTTGATGTAAGTACCTAATTTAGTTATTTATGCTAACTAGTACACTAAAGTTGGTTAAATAGCTACTTAGGTAAATAATTATAATTTATTTAACCATTTTGTTCACATCAACCAGAAAACCATCAATTAATATAGTAATATTGATTATTCAGAGGTTTATTGTGATATCCCAGAAGTAAAATAAGAATAAAAATAGCATTAAATACCTGAGTTGTGGATGCAGCTGCCTCCACTGTTTGCACTCCTCAATAATTTGTGGCCGACTGGACTTCTCGCCCTCCTCATCATACAGCGTCCTCTCAATCCGGCCCCACTCATCGGCAAGTGTCTTGGAGGCCTCTGCAGTATTCCTGCGCAACGCTGACCCAGAGCTACTGTCGCTTTCTTCACTACGGAAGTCTGGAGTCGCTGTAAAGTCAAATAAAAATATTTTTAATATACAATAAAATTAAATAGATAAGTTATTAGAAATCCAGACAGACATTCTATAACCACCATAAAATTGTGACTCCTTGGAAACTGAACTTGCACTGGGTCTGACCAAAAGGTAAAAGGAAGGTTGAAGCAAACACCACATAAAAATGTTACCTGCCTGTCCTATAGCCTCGTTATAACGATGTAGAGGGTCATCAATAATATAACAGAAAATCTAAGTCTCGCACGGACTTTGCTAGCGCACCCTTCCGTAAAAATTAAGAAAATGATAAATTTGATTTACCTGTGTCGCTTTCGGAAAAGAAATCAGAAAAAGGCGTCCCGGTCCTTTCGACGCTGTCTCCTCCAAAGGATTGTATATCAAAGGAATAGTTCAGATTCCTGTTCACCACACTGCTCGTGTTGGCAGACAGGGCCGGCAGCTCTGTCCGTAAATTGTACCCAAACTTCTGCTGGTTTATATCAGGCAAACAGTCGATCAATTTATTAACATTCTTCTCCCGGGCCGAATAAAAGTGTCGAGCGGACATAATCAGAATATTATACAAGTATAGCACTTATATACATCCATAGTTAACAATTAGCTGCTCATTAAAAACAGTTACACAAAGTAATTTGCGAATAAACTAAAAATGGAAATAAAAACTGAAACCGATCAACAGAAACATGAAGGAGGAAAGTCAATCAAATTTTTTAATTGTCATGAATGTCAAAATTAGAGATGCGCCCGTCGCCACCATATCGATTGCGATTCGAAAACATAGCTCAACTAAAGTAGCTCGAGATTGACGCAGATTTTTGTAGGTGGCTAATTAAATCGTAGAATTAATTACTTATTGCATGGTTAGAACATTTCTGTGATTAACAGTGTTTTTTATGAATTACCTGCTTAGGGACTGTACTTTTGATCGAGCTCAATTATTTTGATGATGAAATGGCTAAACCATAGAGAAAAGTAATACATAGGAAATAGAGAACCCACTCTGTCAAATTTTTGAGCCTACTAATTGACAGCCTGGTGTTAAATTCGCTGTACTTAACCTACGTACGTAACGCTCACATACACACATAGTACACGCACACATACATACATAAAGTCCACGCACACATACACACAGTTCACGCACACATAGGCCCTCATAACCTTCAAAGAATTATTGTTTTTTTGATGTACAATGTAGAATTTTTTCAAATCCATTATTTTGAAAGTATTTATCTTTATGGTGTACGTATTGTATTATTTTCAAAACAATGGATTTGGAAAAATTCTACATTGCACATGGAAATGCAAATAAACAAAAACTTTTCAATTTAATAATTTTACTTTATTTATGAACACACATAATATTATACACCAAAAGCGTCTTTTCGCAAAGTTTTCAACAACACTAAAAAAGCATTTGCACTTTGAGAAAACTCAGATCACTTGTTAACATAACAGAAAGTTTCTTCGCGATTCACGAAGGAACGAACAAAACTCCGATGAACCAGAACAGCAGCAGGTACGAAGGAATGAACTTGAATTTGACTCGACTCTTCAATACTTTAATAGGGCCACAGAACTCATAAACGATGGCTAAGAAAACAAGAATGCATTCAACCTAACAAAAACAACACCGGCCATTTTGGAGGAAAAACAAAGTTGCCATATGTTAAATAGTAATTTCTACTACTCTATTAAGTAAATTATAACAAAAAATGTCACCGTTCAGTTTTAAATTAAAACAAATTAATTTCATTTTAAAAAAAGTTTTCACATTGTAATTAACAATATTCTGAAATATATTTTAATTAAGAAAAAAATGAAAATATGAAGGAAACAGGAGCAGCGACATGCGTTTTAGGGTAGTTAAAAAGTATTAAAAAAAAAAAAAAAGTATTGGAATTTATCGACTGAAGTCGCTGTTTGGAAGCAAGTTTGATCGTAGTATGGAAGTTTCCGTACCCTGGGCTAAACCTAATTTATAGATGACCCACGCTGAACTGTCCCGCCAATCTCAATGACAGGGGGGCGCTACCATCGTTCAACTATATGGTTTCCAACATGGCAAAAATCTGAACCAGCGATCCGGTATTGACGGTGGCGCCCCACTGTCAATGTCATCGACAGGACAGTCCAGTATTTTGGAACTATAATTTCTGAACGTTTCATTACTTGTCAAAGTGACAGTTTGTCAATGTGACAGCACATTTCAGCTTTTCATCAGCAAAGTTGCAGAAAAATCGATTTTATTTTGAGCGTAGACGTTGTTGTTAGTGGTTCCCTACATAATTTTCAATTTACAAGAGAAAAGTCGTTTAAAAATAAACGCAATTATGTCGCACGTGTGTACAAAGAGTGGTGAAAAGGTGCAAGATGAGGTTTGTAAATAATTCTTAAATATTGAACTTACCGCCTACTTTTGTTTCTGAATTTATCCAAATAAACGTTACAAAAAATACTTAGAGAAGAGAAGTTTTCACCAGTAATAAATAATATTAAAGAGAATAGCTTCGCCATGTTATTGTTCTCTTTTGATGTGAATTGATGCATTATCGGCAGTGCTGCAGCAGCATGCGGCATTTCTTTTTTCTTTGTGCCGATGTCTTTATTTTTATGGACACAAAGTTTAAATTCCTTTGGACGTGATAAATACCAAATCAGCATGAATTGTTAGCAGGAGCTAACTGAATAATGTAATTTGTGATTGAATGGTAACTGAGTTACTTAAATTTACACAAGTAATCAATTATTTTACAATGTAATCATAAATGTATTACATGAAAATTATTTAATGAAAAATGAGTGTTGCAGTATAATATTTTAAACTATTATGTTGTAGTGTATAAAATAAATGTACTATCTAATTCCTAGAAACTTAAGGATAAACAATAAATAAATATTTATCTAGAGAACAGCGATAAAAACAAGATAACAATACAAATACATTTCAAAGGTTTTGTCATCAGTTTTACCTGCATTAATCAAAAAAAGATCAAACAAAATCTGTTATGGGAAATAAAAAAAATAATCAAAATGATAATTAACTAAAATATTTGTTTATTTCTAGAAAATCCTGATGCCATATACATACATTCAACAAGTACCCGGTAAGCAGATCCGCACAAAACTAACGTCTGCATTCAATTACTGGCTGAAAGTCTCCGATGAAAAACTACACGCCATCGGGGAAATCGTCCAAATGCTACACAACTCCAGTTTACTGTAAGTATCATGGTAAAAAAATATTTTTTCCGTACTCACATTATGATACAGTATGTATCAGTTTGTTGTGTTCTGTACCTACTTTAGCAATTTGTCAATATTCGTTTAGTCCTACTAATATTCAACAAATGTTGCATCACAATCCCAATACATTGATCTTACACTAAACATAAAATAAGTGTAGATTCAAGGCCGCCTTGTGTTAATAAAGATCGGGGGTGAGCCAGGGCAGCAATCTTGGACCTTTGGAGTTTTTGATCATGATTAACGATTTGCCAAGCGTCGTAACGGAGGCCAAATGCTTATTGTTTGCGGACGACCTCAAGTTGTATCTGCCCGTCGAAAGACCAGGGGACTGCGAAAGGTTGCAGGGGGACATCGACAGGGTGGTGGCTTGGAGTGAGGGCAACCGACTACAGTTCAACACATCCAAATGTGCAGTTATAACATTATCACGGGCGCGTAATCTTGTAA